CGCATCGTCCGGATAGCTGATGACGTTAGCGTCCATCAGGAACCATCTGGTATGGTCCTCGAGAGTCCTGCCTTCCTGCTCCATCAGGAGGAGGAGGAATTCGGGGCACGTGAAGGGATCCATGGGGTCAACACAACGGAAAGAAAAACACTGAGGAAAAAAACGGAAAACAAATGGAGGGGAGAACACGGAAGTTAAACTCTTTTGGGTCGGTTATTCTGTCACGGGCAGAGTGTACTAGAGAGCAGGCAGAATGACGAAGATGACGACTCAAAGGATATTTACTAAAGAAACAGGGAATCCAGACAGGGTAGACATCAACATGGACATTGACATTGGCAATAACCGACAAACTAGACTACAAGAGGCAGGAACTAATATAGGGTGGATAACGAGGGGCAGACAGGTGAGCACAATAAGGTGATTAACTGATAATGAGGACAGGAACAACCAAATAAGGACACAGAGGGAGAAACTACAAGTTACAGTCCACAGGGGTGTGACAGTATCATGAGATCAGAACCGAATCGTGACATGAGTGTATTATCACACCCTAAACAATAGACGAAAAGAACGAAGAAAGAAGGTTAACCTGTTGGGTGCTTGGTAACTGTTACGATATGTTTGACAATATGTCAAGGAGTTTTTTTTTTTGAATAACCTATTCACTCTTTCCTCACGTACAGTGGGGCAAAAAAGTATTTAGTCAGCCACCAATTGTGCAAGTTCTCCCACTTAAAAAGATGAGAGAGGCCTGTAATTTTCATCATAGGTATACCTCAACTATGAGAGACAAAATGAGAAAAAAAATCTCAGAATAAACTCATAAAATAAAAATGAGGATTTTTAAAGAATTTATTTGCAAATTATGGTGGAAAATAAGTATTTGGTCAATAACAAAATTTCATCTCAATACTTTGTTATATACCCTTTGTTTAAACTTGTTCATTTAGAGTGACATGTTCAAAAAAGTTGAGTTTTCAACTCTTTGGGGAATATCTTGTTCTGCATAATTACCCAAATTTGATTGGAACTGAACTTGACTTCTGGAGATGACTTTTAATGAATGTAAATCAGGCATCTTACATCCCCACAATTAATTTGGTCTGTAACAAAAAGAAAAAAAAACCTTGTTAGAAAACAGAAAAAAGTGTTAAAGCGCTGACAGAGGCGTGCTGTCAGGCATTTTTCTGCTCTATCTCATCTCCATGACTGGCACTCTAGAGATATTTTCCCCTCCCTGACTTTGATCATGGAAGTGATGTTCTAGAAGAAGCTGGAGTGAATTCCAATGTGAGGTGAGCATCTCTTTAGCATACCTAAATAAAACTGGGTGCCATACCCTTGGAACTTGACTGTAAGTTTTAGCCTTAATTTCATGTGCATGCCTCAAATAAACATATGTTCTCTCAAAACACGTCATTGTCACTGTCCAAAACAAGGTCTCGATGAAGAATGGGTGTATCAAATGTTAAGTCGCACCCACAGTGAGGAAGAAAGGACAGGTCACACGATAGTCTTTGATTAGTTTAATGGATGCATGCTGCTGTAGATTTGTAGCTGTGAAGTAATTAAAAATGCTAGCATGTAAATTAATCATACAGGGATCTATTATAAAGGAAAACAAAGTTGTCAAGTTCTCCAGAAGATTGATGGGCAAGTTTAGTACCTTCAATAATTGATTAGTGTGATGCAGCTCCACAATTAGAAATAAAATAATTGTAAAACAACAAAAAAATGTGTAAAACAATGTGTAGAACAGTATAGATCAATTCCCAAGTCTTCTAAAGAAACACAACAATATTAATGTATGCAACAGGGACGCACAGTATATCTGTATCATATCAGTTCTATGCCAATATTTTTAAAATTATTTTTACAATATGATTTTTGTAGCTATTGGTATAGGTTGACAAATGATACACACAACTTTGGGCAGTGCATACTCATATCCCATATTTTTTAGATATAACTTGAATAGGTGGTTATCAGCTTTTTGACTCAAAGGCCCACCGTTGTCCAACAAAATATTTGAGGGTCCCCCCTCCATATACACTACAATATTCTGCTGTAATTATGACAAGGCTGCTTGTTTTTTATATTGAATTATATTAATGAATTAATTAACTTGATTAATAAAATATTTTGAAATCTATAATATTTTGAATATGCATATATATATTTTGAGATTATTTAATATATTAATAATAATTTAGTTCATTTAAATCCCCCTGGATGAGAACCATGATTTAGATTACTTTTGGCAACATATAACTCTCACTTAAAGTTAATCTTTAACAACACTACTGATTTAAGACCTTTTTTAATTACTCTTTAACAAATCTGAAAAAAAGAAATACTATATATTATAAAGTTCTTTGGACAAAATAGTATACAATTTTAATATTGGCCATTTATCATTATTAAAAACGAATCTTTGTTGTATTTTGCTATTAAAATATTTCATTTGAAGTTGAAGAATAGGATTTTTGCAGTGTGGTAAATTTATACAGTCCAATTTTTCCACTTTATCCTTGAAGCTGAGAACAAATCCATACATTCTAATCTAACGAAGGACACATTCAAAGCAGCTCCCCAAAACTCACATCCATCTTCAGGAAAACAGGACACTGGTGTTTCGGCAGAGCTTGAGTTATGACACCAAGCGTCAGTGGCTGCATCAAACTCCATTCTCTTCTGAAGGACCTTTGTGGAAATGGCATGATTAATCCATCAGGAGACGTGGCTATGCGGGGTGTATGCATGGCATATGCATGGCAGGGGGAATTAAATTACAGGGCTGTTGCAGGGACCATCCCAGAACAGTGCATTTGAAAAAAGTGGCAGCTTTAGCTGATGGCTGTCGCTGGACTTAATAGGCTGGTGGTGTGTGAATTGAGGCATTGACTCCCACCCACTCTGTGTCCTGTATTGGTGTTAAAGTTGACATGGGAGATAAGAGAAAGTAAAACATGAATTTGTAGAGATAGACGCAAATGAGAGTGAGATTCGACTCAAGTCCATGAGGGCTTATGAGCATATGATGACGAACTCATTGCATATCAATATAGTAGATGCATCGATTGACCGAATAGCATAATTTAAACACCTCTCAGATGAATCAATAAGCATGCGTATGTACACAGTGAATCGTCCTATTTTAAATTATATACACATGGTTGTCTCTCTCTATACAGTACGGTCTGTAGTTGAACATATTGATCGCAGTTGTGCGAAGGCATCGGATGTACATTATAACAAATGTTCTCTTTGCATTTATAATAGAGGAGCGACAAACGTGCCGATCGATGAAGAGAAGGTCAGGGAATGGACTCTGGCCGCAGCTCTAATAGAGAAGTCAATGAAGAACTGCTGTAATCACTGTAGTGAATTCAATAAAGGAATGTTGAACTGAGGGATGCAGACAGTTACTGCCAATTACTTAAAAGTAACAAGAAAACATTAGTGCTAAATTCCTCATGAAATGCATAAAATTACTTTAAATTTAACAGTCACGGTTTTATTGTAGAGATATGTTGGTGAATGCAAGGCTGTAACATGAGAAAACAGAACAGCTCATGATGGACTGAAAGGTCCAGAGAATGTGAGGAATCAACAACAGCATGAAAGCAGAAGTGAACTCTACAATCATGCATACAAAAATCATTTATAGTGGCCATTTAAAAATGTTTTGGTGAAAAAAATGGTAAAAGTATTGGCAGATAACATTGTGTATAGATTGTCTTCTTCCATTGTCTGACTGGAGCATTACACTTTTTGTGAAATGTGTTGTGAAATCTCACTAAACCCAAGTGACAGACAATAAGTGTCAATGAAATTGTGTCCGTAAGTGACTCCTGCTGTACCAGGGATCCCATGATGCCTCTGAGTATTTTGATAATTGAGATTAATGTCTCTGTGCCTCAAGAGACACCATAAGTGTTTATTCTGAGATTAGCAGTGGTAAATGTTGAGAACCCTTATAAACCATAGGATCTGCAGCCATGAGCACTTTTGAAAATAACAAACAGTCATTGACATTTCAGCTGAATTATTTTCACTTCCTAAATCCTTCACAATAGATGGCAGTATAAGCTTTATATCTTGTCTCTGCTATGCTCGACCTCACAATGTAACAAAAAATTTGGAAAATTGTTCTTCTTTAAGCAGCAAGTATATGTTTTTATTTCGTTTACATAAAAAGTGCGTTGCAACTGCACAGAACGTTGTTTTAAATTATTCCCAGTGTTGACCAGTCATATGCTGATACTCGTAATGTCCATAAGGGGATGATGTATAATTGCTTTAGTCACTTCTTATTCAAATGTTCACCGTGCTTTCTAAGGCATATCAATTACCATGTAATTAAAATATGTCAGTGCACTACAACGCTCGGGCTGTATTAATGACCGTGAAAATTGTTTTAATTAAATAGCCAATTATAGTAAAGCCCCAACCATGAGAATTGACATTTAAATGAGCTTTATTTAAATTGCTTTCAATATTGTTTCATCAGAACTTCTCACGCGGCGAATTAATCACTTGCCCATGTGCATGTACAAGCGCCATTAACTATTGAAGTGCTGCTATTATTCATTCCATTTCAAGCATGAATTCATACAATGCGCGTCTGTCCTTCCATAAACTTTGTGACTAAACTGGGACAACATATAAATAAATAGCCTTTCACGCAAGTTAGCCTACATAACATAACGAACTTAACAGTCAATGGCTAAAAAAAACACGCTCAACGTGAAGTCTGTTGTTCTGTTTGTTTATCTTTACTGTGAGTATTATAAAGGCTATGTGAACCTTGCTCAACATTAGCAATAGCACGAGTTCTTGTGAAGTTCATTGTCTCAGATCTACCTGCTCTGAAAGAAAGCAACACACGTGCGCGCTGGGTCTCTTCCAAAACTCTCTTTGTTTCTTGGCTCCTCCTCCGGACCACAATGTGACAGATTCAACTCGTCCGAGCACCAGCGCAGCTCTCCACTTATTCCCACTGTCACTATCACGCTTTGATAGATGTCGTGACGCACAGACAAAATCTCGTTTCCCCCCCTCGTGCCAGGCTGATTTTACTTTTCGATTAAAACGGAATTGTTTTTGTTGTTTTATTCATTCTCCCGTGATACATTACTTTTGTCCGAACACTTTCAAGAGATTTATTTAGTGCTGAACATGGCCACACTGGCTGCGCTGCTGCCCGCGACACCGATGGCCCACGCGCCTCCGATCTCGGTCAGCTCCTCGACCCCGGCGACCCTCTCGCCCTCACTGTCCGTCACCCCATCCGGTCCGAGCCTCTTCAGATCGGAACTGCTCTCCTCCGCGAGCCCGGGCATCCCCATCGGAAGCCTCCCGCACAAACCCGTGTATTCCACTCCTTCCCCAGTGGAAAACACCCCTCAAAACAACGAGTGTAAAATGGTCGAGGTCAGAGGCGCAAGGCTCGCATCTTTCACCGTCAACGGCAACGAGCTCATCTGCCTCCCGCAGGCGTTTGACCTCTTTCTCAAGCACCTGGTCGGTGGACTGCACACCGTATACACCAAACTCAAACGTCTGGAGATAACGCCTGTGGTGTGCAACGTGGAGCAGGTTCGCATCCTTCGTGGACTGGGCGCGATTCAGCCCGGAGTCAATCGCTGCAAACTTATATCGAGAAAAGACTTCGAGGTCCTCTATAACGACTGCACCAATGCAAGGTAAATGTAACCCTTCTCGAAGCTACACGAGATTTGTACTGTAAAGGATGCAGAAAAAAATACTTTGAAAAGTTGCACTAAACTAAAAAGAATTAAAGCACTGGGCACCTTACACTATGCGGGTTTATTGAGCTCCTATCTTGCGCAGACGTTAACTTAGACAAACTCAACTTTGCTGAGCACAGCACATTTATCTCTAGCCTACTTGTGATCACAGTTTGGCCTTTGATAATCATGCTCATATCAGGTTACTTTTATACTGAAATGCATCACATTGAACATACAGTAGGACTACACTCACCTTTTTGGACAGGAAAGGTGTCTTTCACCCATCAATCATGCTGTCAAAATAGGATTGAATGTAACTCTTGGTCTCTTTCTAAAACGTATCATGTGTGAACAAACACTTTTGGAGATAAATATGGAAAAGAGAGAGGGAGAGAGATCGAATCCGACTATTATCTAAATGTTTAATGGGACCAGTCTGCTTTTGTTACGAGTTAAACTGAATGTCAGCTCACAGGTTAATCGGCAGTTGTCCCATGGTTGGGTATCAGATGGACCACAAGTATCACTTGTTAAACGTTGTGTATGGCTCATGCAGTTTCCGATTGCAGTTTCCATAATCAAAATAGCCTACTTAAAATGTGTGGATGAAATAAAGGAATGTTAATACTGCTGTCTCAGTTATATTTGAAAACCTATAATTAATTTGCAGTGACTCAAGTGGCATGATTATATCAGCCCAGGTGAGTTATTGAATGGCGTTATCAGTTTAGACAACTGGTCATAAAAGCACTATATTCTGTTGAGCTGTCATTATATAGTTTCCACCTGATTCTGTTGCCATCAAAGTTCGTGTTCTTTGAAATCACCGACACTTTAGTAGTGTATAACGCAAATTTAATCTATAGGTTATCCATAGGCTATCGAGACTGTGGTATCCTATCTATAGCAAATACCTTTTTTCAGTTAATTTATCTAGAAATTGAATGCGTACAATATGGCCAAATAAACTATGTTAGCGAATAATTGTATGGGATACACTCTTAAAAATAAAGGTGCTTCACGATGCCATAGAAGAACCTTTTTGTCTAAATGGTTCCATAAAGAACCTTTAACATCTGAAGAACCTTTCTGTTTCCCAAAAGGTTCTTTGTGGCGAAAGAATGTTCTTCAGATTATAAAAAGGTAACAAAGAGATGGTTCTTTAAAAAACCTTTGACTGAATGCTTCTTTGTGGAACCAAAAATGGTTCTTCTATGGCATCGCTTGAAGAACCTTTTGAAGCACCTTTATTTTTAAGAGTGTAGAACTGTTTTCCAGCTCATCTGATCAAACACAAAATTCTGCAAGACAGAACTAACCAATGACAGAGAGCTTTTGCTCACTGCTGACGCTGCTTTTGAACAGGCCTGCGTTTTCTAAAAGTATCATAAAAACCATTGCTATCTTTGCCATCCGCTTAGGCTTATGATGCTTTTTGGAAATGCAGCCCAGAAAAAATGTTTACCAGAAGACAGAAAAAAACGTAATATGGATCCATTAGATTGAGTTATTTCACAATTAAAAAAATTGTAGTTGTACAATTTTTGTGCAGCTAAAAAGAGCCATGTGAACTTTGTTTGAAAGAACAGTATGAGTTTACTTATCTATACTTTGGTGTCTGTGAGCAAATTTATGACACCAGCTCATAGCTGCTTGCTTATTAAAGAGTGCATTTAGGCAGCCGTTGGCACTGGTGAGGAGATGTTAAGCGTTTGTGACACAAGTTACTGGAACGAGATTAGAATCTCTGATTCCTGCCCGAGTGCTTGCTCCCCAGTGGTGTGTAATATAGAAATTGATTCTCGCAGAAATTAATTAATTTTTCATATTGCCTAGGGCGGCAGTTTTAAAAGGGTGCTCTCTAACAGTCCTCCCGCCCTTTTTGTCTCCACTTTGAATTATATCCTAATCGTATTAATACTTTTTGCCTCCGGATTAATCGACAAATTTACGAATGCGTTTTTGAAATTTTTATCAGAACGTATTTATGCATGAATTAGACCATTCTCCTGACCTCTATTTTGTTCATTTGTGCTCATTTGTCGTGACAAGGTGTTTGAGAAACTCTCACCAACTTTTAAATGTTTCTATCTCTGTATAATGACTATTTAATCAATGTCTGGCCTCCTAATGTTTTAAATTTGGCAGAGCTGAATGGAGATCAGAGGGCAGACAGCGTGGGCTAAACTCTTGGACGTCTGAATTCTCTAAAGACCTAACTGAGAAGTTTAAATTGAGAGACTGAGGCCAACACCCTCTCATGGCTATTCTACTTTTGGCGAATTGGTGGCTAATTTCATTTATATGGTTTGGTACTGTTTATTCCCTACTGAAGGTTGTGTTTAGGGGTGGACCTTCATACGTTTGTCTAAAATGTGTGCGAATTCATATGAAATCTCCACCTCATAAAATTAAATTGTACAAAGGGTGGCTCTTTGGTTCAGAAATGACTCATGCCAAGTCAAAGTTTGGCACTTTGACTCATCATGAACAGATAAAAGGATCCTGCTCAACTGGCACATTATCGTTTCCTTAAATATGTTGTTCATGCAACATGAGTTAACAGGAGAAGAAACTAAACGGCAAAACCACCCCTCCACCCCATGTTGTGATGAGACTCAAATAACGTTCTGTGTCCTTTCTTGAGCTATACTGCCGTTATTCATCAAATCTGACTACTTCCTCGGCGCTTCGCTTTGTTGAAAAGATTTGTCTTCTCTGACCGTCATCTAATCCATGAGCTTTTTCTGGCAGGCAGAAAAAAATGCCCTATAGGTGCTGACTTGGTCTGTCTGCTTTACAGATTCATTCATCACTCCAAGCATGTCCTTTTATGGCTAAATTCTAACGGTAAATGTTTTGAAGCAACAAAACGCATCTTGGATCAGCATAAAAACTAATAGTTGATTTACTGCAGCACTTCACAATGCTCAACAGACTGCGCAATCAGACTGCAAGTTTTGAATGTCTATAAAAGGCCTTTGGCTTGCTGTGGTTTTGGTTTCGCTCTGAATAGTAAACAAAATGCTTATGTCTTCTCTTACAGTTAGCCTGCACTTAGTCAGCCTTTATTTACTGAATTATTTATTTTCGTAGAATCACATTCACTTCCAGAAAGCCTTAAACGGACATGATGTATCACAACTCATTGGCTTTGTGTTGTGACCTTTCTCTCAGAAACTCTCCACCTGTGAAGTGGAGCTTATGCAGGTCTGCGTGTTCATTAGTGTGTGCGTTTGCGAGAAACCAAGCAAGAAAGTGAGATGACAGACATAGCTTAGCGCAAACCTTTTGCGAATACTCTGCAAAAATGGGTATTTGTGTCTTTGAAGATTTTCCTGTCACAGAGTTCAAGTCGTGTGAATGCTCGGGGTGAGAGGAGTCTGTCAGTGTGTGTTCTCGTTCTCTGATCTTCAAATGGGAGACATTTTAAAGGCCACGGATTACAGTCAAAACAAATACCCGTAGCAGCGGTGCTGGCACCCTAGACAGCAAATTATCCGCTGACAATTAATTGATGTCAGTGTGATTGCTTTCATTTAAGAATTCCCGTTATCTTGTACTCACCCGCTGTTTTTCCCTCTTCGACATGCACAAGTATAAACGCACTAACCTCAAACAGACGTCTCTCCACGTCTCTGTCTTCCCTTGACCTTCAGGTCCTTTCCAGCTGTAACACGAGCCTCTATCAGTCAGCAAGGTTTGATTCGGCCCTTCCACAGTGTGTTAGTGTGGAGTGAGGGATTAGTGGGAGGAAAATAGAAGAGTGTGTGAATGAGCGACACAGAATCTGTAATCCATCCATTTTTTTTCTCTTGTATTATGACGAAAGGTTTCAATTGCCACGCTTTCAAGGCTACAGTATATTTTGAATCCTCTAATATCAATCATTACATACGACTGTGGAGTTTATGGTTGGCTGTACATGTGTGGTTGAAATAGATACCCTTTGTGTGTGTGTGTGTTCAGATCTCTCAAAGCTTTATTGACTCTATTGGAAACCGCCGATGCAGCTGCTCAGACAGCTGATAGCTTTGTAGTGGCATGCTGCGTATCATAAAAGAAATGTGTTAGCGAACAAGGGCTTAAAATACCATTGATGTCTTTATGGGGCTATTGTGTTTGCATGTGTCCATCTGCTGTCGTGTGTGCAAGTGTAAGACTTTCAAAAATGTCAATATTAATTTTAAAATTAATTTTAAATAAAATGTGTTCATCATAGAAGATTTGTAAAGTGTGAAGAGGTGTAAGTCACTGCATATATATAT